GGAAACCTCTGATGGCATGATATGGCAAGGCACAGTTCAATGTCTCTTACCGACTGTCTATTTTACAAATGATTCTTGGCACAGTCAGAAAAAGGCTGATATCTTGGCTGCAAGGGTCAAATCCATGCCATATCAAAAGGCACTACGGATACCTTCAACGTGATGCGGATTAGAGAGGAAAGTGGAGAGATTGGGTGGATTTTCACTTCACAAGAAATGATGGCCACATGGGCTAAACTGTCGACAGGTAGCACACTGGAATATTTTTAACATGTGGTGATGTTTCAGCAGCTTCCATCTGTTTCTTTTTAATTGCAACAGGAAACAGCACAGATAAGAGTCCTAACAACGGATTCACAACAAAATTGTGAAACTGCAATGTCATTTGCTACCGGTAGTTATAGCTTGAGTGGTGCCCTAGCAATGGTAGTAACGGAAGCCGCAGGTCATCCTGTCAGTGATGCCAGGATTTGGAAAGCTAATGTGCCCCGAATGCATGATATGGCTTATGCCCAGCCACCGAATATCTGTGCCATATTGCTGTGAGGCATAGAATAAAAGTGAAAAGTATATCCTCCTATTTCTACCTCCTTCAAATGCCAATATCTGCAAGTTACAGATAGGCTGAGATTGGCCAGGTCAACACCTATTGGGAAATGTAAAATGTATGACTAGTGAAGGAAGACAGGACACTGCATTTCAGACCAGACAAGGTGCTGTTTGCAGATGTCGTAAGAGGTGGTGCTATTGTTGGCCAATTTTTAGGAAATGAAGGAACTTGTGTAGATTAGTTACTGGTGATGTCGCTTCTGTTATGAAAATTTAGACTTTTCGTCCTGCCTTCAAAAGCGACCCTCATCTAATGCAGAACATCCACTTCTGATGAGGAATGCTGATTGACTGTTCCACGAAATTTGGTAAATGTGCACCAAACAAAGACATGGAGTGGATGTTTACTATCCTTAGTTGTGACGGTGTATTCGTTTATACAAAAAGTAAAAATAATTCACATGAGCTTAATGTGTCTGGTGAGCACCTGATAAATAGCGACAGACATTAACAACGCCAAATTGATGACGTGTGAACGTGAAGTGAAGCGTTAGTTGACACCGATGCCGAATATTTGTGGCCTCATGACCAGCACATCAGCAGTGGGTGCTTATTTGTTTGGGTTACGACATCTATTTTTACTAAAATGTGCTTTAAATGCCATGATGTGGATGATGAGTTATTTTTTCCTTTTTGCCGATGAAGCGCTGTGGAGAGTGTGGATGAGAAGACATCCATCTTTAATGTTAGCTGCGTAAAATAAACTGCAAAACATTCCTACTTGCTGCGACAAATGGAAGATCTGAGGAAATGAAGGCATACAAAAGTCAGAAAACATTTTAGGTACACTGCCTCTCAAACCCCAGGCGTCAGTGGCAGGATGTTCTGGGGCATTCATTACTACCGTTGCTAGGGCATCACTCAAGCTACAGCAACTGGCAGCAGATGATATTTCAATTTTGGAATTTATAATATAAAGGGCTTTTGAGAATCCGAAGTTAAGGCTCTTATCTGTATTAACTATTTACCTAGAAAGTGCTTGTTACTTAGTTGCAGCGGCGAGGTGGTCTGAGAATAAAAACGAACTTGTTCAATTAAATAGAAACGGATGGAAGTTGCTGACACATCACCACATGTCGGCAGTTTAGCCCAGGTAGCCAGCATTTCTTGTGAGGTGAACATCCACCCAATCTCTCCACTCTCCTCCCTAATCTTCATTGCGTTGCAGGTATCCGTAGTGCCTTTTGATATGGCATGGATTTGACCCTTGCAACCAAGATTTTAGCTTCTTCCTGACTGTGTTTAGCATCAGGTGTGAAATGGACATTCGGTGCCTGACATTGTCTTGTGCCCAGCCTTGCCATGCCATCAGAGGTTTCCTTACTTATCATTTAAGCATCAAATTACATCTTATTCCTATTCGAATGGAGCCAAGACACAGTTTGGTGCTCGTGCATGCACAACTAACACAACATTTTATGGAGGAAGCTCACACATCCACAAGGACTTTGTAGGTGACATGACAGCAATCTTCACTCAATAATGCCTCGAATAAGTTAGAAAGATACAGAAAAGTAAGAATTGGGAAGTTAAAGGCATGTTATGGCATATTAGCTATGGAGTTCAGTCACCCAGATAAGCATCAAGAAACCTCACAAAAGGTACATTAGATGGTTTATTGAGCAAATTCTATGACTAGTCACATGACAGCGTATCCGCTCCTCTACTCAGCCTCTTCAATCAACTTTCTGACATACGCCTTCAGTGCCATGCGTGCCTTCTTCCTCACCATCTCGCACACACTCGCCACTTCCTTCATTACTTCAACCAACTTTTTGCCCAATGGATCCCTTCGGAAGAAGTCCTTGATCTCGCTGA